TTAACCAAACCATTGAAATTTCTTGCTGCAAAAAGTGATTTGATTAATATAACCAGAGCTCACTCCTTTTAATAAATGAAATGGCTTAATGCTAATTCAGTTTCAGAGTTCTTTTTCATTCCGAATTCACACCACTACTCTTAATCCTGAAGAAGATGGAATGCCAGCAGGGTAGCCAAACGAAAGAACTATGAAATTTCAGTCAACGAATACATAATACTCCAACTTTTGAGAGTTACTTGATGAAGAAATTTTTAAAAGGAACTAGAGTATGCTAGGTCTTTTTCAAGAAGTATCGACTATAATGAATAAGGATGTGCACATGTCGACTATTCATTATCGGGAAAGGACTCAAGAAAGATCACCGGTAATGAAATATTCATCTACTGACAATTGTTCTATTCACCTCGAGCAAAAAGATTTACGTATAAGAATAAATATTTAATAATTATATACCAAAATATACCCACGTAGGCAAAGGCAAGATTAAATAGCTGAGAAAACCATGCTGGAGGTAGTAGAAAGATTGATAGAGTCAGAGGAACTAATTGGTTTAGTTTATAAGTTGAGAGACGAAATATAATAAGTTGTCGCTTTTTTCCTAGCCGTTGCAATTCTTGAAAGTCCCGAACTTTCAAAAGGGCCAAGCAGTATCTACTGATAGCTCGAAGTTGTTCGATGGAGGATCGTTGGAGGTAATACCGTCCAAAAGTTGGCCGAGACTTTACACCGGAGAAAGAAAGAAGTCACAATAAACGGTAGCTTTACCACCTATTAAAAGACTAGATTTTGCTTGCCGTTGTCAGACCGTGAAGGTCTGGCGGTGATGTCTGGGCCTGATTTACATCAAGGCAGATCACAGACATCATCAAGCTGAGGTTTAAGCAAAAGGCGTTACAAACATCTTTTGTGAAACAACATCGGAAGAGAGCATCTCTTACGAAAATAAGTATATAAATAAGTAGGCATTTCCTCATCTGATGGAAATGCCTTGAAGACCTTTTGTGGTGTGGACCTAAGTGGCTAATCCTATTGGTTAATGGATTGAAGAATGGGTCGATGCCCTACAGAGAGTTTTCATTCGGTAATGACAATAATAATAATATATATATATTTTACTTATGGCTTTTACTATATTAGCATTAATTGTAATAAAGTTATTCTCCCTTTAATAACAGCTAAAAGATTAATCTAATTAGTAAATTAATCCACCACTAATCGTTATTAGTATGTATCTGACTAATAGCTAACTGCGTGTGTTATGGTCGTCCAGTCTGGTACAGGTATCTACTTCGTAGATACTTGAGGACGATAGAGGTCTGATCTACCCACATAACCCGATAGCCGTAGATAACTTGTTCAGCTTATTCAGAAATGTGTTTTTCCTCCTCGTAATTTTTTTTTCCAAAAAAAATGTATCTTTTTCATTTTTTTGTACAGGAAATTCAGAGAGTTAGCATATTAACATGCACTGACTTCAAAAATACATCAAAATATTAGTACTTCAAAAATTTTCGACCTAACTCTAAAACCTTTTTGGCATAGTTAATAACTTTTGATAAAGACTAGCATAACGAAATGTTTATAAAAGGGGCTCTCTGGCCGAGTGGTCTAAGGCGGCAGACTCAAGTTCTGTTATCGTAAGATGCGCGCGTTCGAATCGCGCGGGAGTCATTATTTTTTCAATTTTTCTTTACTTCTATTTCTAAATCATTTTTATGATGATTGGTTTTAGTTTTTTTTTTCTTTAGAAGTGCTTTAGATCGCTGTATATTATAGACGCGTAGGTATACGAAGAAGAAACTAATTGGACTGGCTTTGTGATCTGCTATTTATTCCATAACTTTTCAAATTTTTCGATATTTGATAGTTCAAGTTATCAATAGCAGCCAATTGACTGGTTAGTATACTCAATTGAACAGACTGAGCTTTAGAATTGAATCCGGACAATTCGTTTTTCGGATCGTACGATTTCAATCGATTAGATAAATGTACAACTAACTTATGAGTTTCGAATTTCTTGTCATCAGGAAGAGTATCTAAACCATTCAAGAGTTTTTCCATCTTTGATTCGAGCTGGTTTAATGAGATATTCAACCCATCGTCTTTAATGGGTGACTGATTTGATTTCTCAAGTTGATTAGAGTAATATTGATGATTTATAATGGTAGAAGTAGCAGCACTTTCAATGAAAGTAGTTTGAATCCTGGTATTAATCGGAGACAAATCTTCAACAGTGTACGCTTTTGCAATCTGGTCATCAGTACTATTGAGACCAAATATAACATAGATTAAGATATTAGAATTAGCAAATTGTTCAATCATTAGTTTTGTTTCTTCGTTGGGACTAACATTCTCATTGATTTGATATAATCCAATCAACCGATACTGCGGTAATACCGTATCCATTAGACTTATCTTTTTATTCAAATGATCCCAATCAATTGAGTCTCCACCAACAAAATTCACTTCAAATGAAGTACCAATTGTAATCGAATCATTTGATTCATTCTTCGTCCCCAATAATACTCCATACGTCCCCGTTTTCTCTCTCGATATATGGTCCGACACATTGAGCAATGCCAACGAGTTGATCTGTATCAGCTCCACCATCTCCAAACTATGTATTTCTTCCAATAAGAGTATCTACCGATGATTTGATCTTATCAACGAAAAAAGGATTGAAAGCAAAACGACAAAAGGTGTGGTTCTGGCTGAAAAATACGACATTTTTAGGTCTTATGCGAAGAGCAGAGGCCCACTATAAAAAAAAAAAAAAAGCTCAGATGGGAAGAGGGATAAAGAAAAAAAAAATTTTCCTTTTAAAACATCATCTTTTCAGTTACTCTACAAGAAGATAGCATATAAGCATGTCGGCAGTTCATGACCCTATAATGAGAAAGAGGCTATTCTCAGACGTCGATAGTAATGCTAGTAATGGAGCAGAAACCGGAGGAGGAACTGGGGCAGGAGCAGGGCAGGAAGCTCAAGTTCAGAAACTAAGAAAAGCAAGAAGGATAACGACGTTAGTTCATTATTCTCAGAAAAAATGTATTCAGCATATGTGAAATCAGCATTTGAGTCACTAGAAAAGAATGATCCCATCCAAATTAATACTTTAACATCAAAGATCAATTTACCCAAAAGTCATCATGAAGCAATACCATTATCAAGTTTTATAACGGTATTAAAGATTTTGATTTCGAATATATCAAGATTAGATAATAGTTATTGTTCTAGTCTTGTTAGTTCAATATTGCATTATGATTGGCTTCTGGCTAAAAGTAGTAGTGAAGAAGAATATCTTTTATTTATTGAATTATATGCGCAATTTCTATCAGTATTAGTATCTTCATTACCAAAATATTTATTTGAAGTTACTAACAAGATAATTGGAGAGTTTATTGATTTAAAACTTGAAGGTACAGCTTTACCTCATCATAAAGTCTTAGATAAATTGAGAAGATTTATTCCAACTTGTGTCAATTCTTTCCCAACTATTATTCATAAAAATTTTCCTCATCATTTATCAACTAATTCAACAGAACTTTCACAATACGTAGGGAACATTATGAAAATGATCAGTTATTGTCCCGAATTACAATTTAATATTTGGCAAATGATTATAGAATGTTGTATTAAATTAGATGTTGAACTTCAAAATGAATTAGATGATTTAGATGATGATGAAATCGAAGAACTTATAAATGGGAATGACGATGAAGAAGCTGAAGAAAATGAAGAAGATGAAGAAGATGAAGATGATGTTATCGAAGGAGAAGTTGAATATTTAATGGATCAAACAACTTCAACTGCAAATATTAAAAGTCTTGTATTTAAATTAGATTCAGTTATCAATCTTTTATTAACAAACACTAAAAATTCTTTCACTACTGAAGAACTTAATAATGGTAATGGTGTCACATTATTCAATACCATAACTTCTTTATTCAAATCGCATATTTTACCAACCCATTTTACAAAATCAATACAATTTACATTATTTCACATTTCTCAATACCAACCAGAATTAGCAGATTCTTTCTTGGTTCTACTCATAGATATAGCATTTAATCCAAATGAAATCTTGGAAAAAAGATTGAAAGCAATGCAATATTTATCTTCCTATATTGCAAGAGCTAAAAATCTTTCAAGACATCAAGTTGTTTTCATCGTTAGCTATCTTATTGGATGGTTAAATAAATACGTTATAGAAAGAGAAGCAGAAGTTTATGATCTTGATAATAATAGTGATAAATCAACTGGTGGTATGGAGAGATTTAAATTATTTTACGCTGCATTTCAAGCATTATTATATATCTTTTGTTTTAGATATAAATTATTATATAAAGTTGATGGTTCTGATGAGCAACAACCAAAATCTTCAAATGATTCGGAATGGGAATGTGATTTAGATAAATTTTTCCAAAGAGCCATCTTAGCAAAATTTAATCCTTTAAAATTTTGTGATGAAACTGTGGTTTATATTTTTGCTAAAATCGCTACCAAACTAAACGTCTGTTATTGTTATTCAATCATCGAACATAATAAAAGAGAAACAATGATACAGAGTAACTCTTCCATGCCTCTGTCAATTGGTAATTTTAAACTGAAACAGGAGTTTTTGGATTTAGAAGCTTATTTCCCATTTGATCCTATCGTTTTACCTAATTGTAAAAAAATCGTTAATGAAAATTATGTTGAATGGTCAGATGTTAATCCTAACGATGATGAAGATGACGAAGACGATAGTGGGGTTGGTAGTAATAAAGGTGATGATGATGATGATGACTTGGATAGTGATGATGAAGATAGTGACGAAGAGATTACTAGTGATGAGGATGATTAACCAATGAACGACTTTCTATATAATTTACGAACGCATATATAACTAATGTACTATTTCATTCTTACTACATGAACTGTAAAAAAGAAACAAGAACAAAAATTACAAACCACTATTATTTATGGATGGAGAGGTTGCAAAACAAAAAAAACAATGATCCCTTCGAGGATCGAACTCGAGACCTTCTGAGGGTGAATCAGACGTGATAGCCGCTACACTAAGGGACCTTGACGCGGAATTGACCACTACGCCAAAAAAGCGCGATTTTACCAATTTTTTTCTTTTTTAGGCAGCCCCAAGAAGCTTTGATAAATACGTTGACATAATATTTTTTGAAAAACTTGTAATTAGCTTTATTTGTATATGTTGACAGTATGAAATGATATAATGTAGTTGTGGAAACGCGTTGGAGAAAAAATGAAGCAAAAATCTTTCCGTTTAAGTTTTTATTTTTTATTTTTAATTTTTTTTTCAAGCAATATGGAATTATCTTAGGCTAAAAGAGAAACCGATGACGGATCAAACGATGAACTTTCAAACTCGCATGTTAGTACAGTCTGTTAAATGGATACATAAGCTACAAAAATGAAAAAAAATAAAACATTAATTTATTATACTACGGAATAAATAATTAATTAAATTCAACTTTAGCTTGTTCAGGAACAATGGTTTTAACTTTACCGGTTGAGATGTAGGCTAAAATATTTTCAACAACCCATTCTTCTAAGTTTCTAATAGCTTCAGAAGAGTGGGTACCCATATGAGGTAAACTAATAACATTTGGTAATTGAGCTAATTCAGCAGGAACTTCAGGTTCGAATTCAAAAACATCTGAACCAAATGCACCAACTTTACCACTTTTCAATTCTTTATATAATTGTTTTTCATCAATAACAGGACCTCTTGCAGTGTTAATAACAACAACACCTTCTTTCATTTTAGCGAAAGCATCAGCATTTATTAAATGATGAGTGTTTTTATTGAGAGGAACACTAATGAACAAAACATCGGATTGGGCTAAAAGCTCATCATATGAAACGTATTCTGAACCCGCAGTTAATTCATTTGATAATTTAGAACGATTATGATAAATGTATTTTTCGAAACCAAAACCTAATAAACGTTCTTTAATAGCTCTACCAATACCACCCATACCTAAAATACCAACGGTTTTCCCTTCAGGTTCATGTCCTAATTTAGCCCCACCAGCTTTACCCTTTGCTGGCCATTCACCTCTCACTAAATTATCATGACCTTCTTGAAAATTTCTCATTGCTGATAAACATAAAAAGACGGCAGTTAAAGCAGTTGGTCCTTCAACTGGTTCAGTAACATTTGAAATTTGAATTCCCTTTTCAGTAAATGGATCAACATCAATTTGATCATAACCAGCACCACAATGACTAATTGATTTAACTGATTCTGGTAAATGACTAGCTAATTCTGCATCGAATCTACCAGTTTGTTCAATACTTTGAAAAGTACGAGCAATATTGGTAATATCGCTATATTTGCTCTTCAAATCTTTGAAAAATTCTTCACGATTTGATGAAGTACATTCAACAACTTCGGCAGTTTTAGCAAGTTCTTCCCATTTCTTTTGAGCAAAGAAAACTTCTCCGAGTTGTAATACTTTTGGTCTGGTTGTTGAAGTAGTCATATTTCTGGTAATGTTTATGGATTTAATTGCACTAGAACTTCTGATTCTTTGAAAAATATGATTAGTTATATGAAAGATTCTTGAAATCTGTGTTTGTTGCATAAGTAGGACTAATATATATATTCAATTATCAAGATCAAATATATCTCTTCGTACTTAAGATAAAGATTCAGAGTCAATTTTCCACCTAAACTCGACACCAATTAGGAAAATAAAAGAGTATCCTCTGGAATAAAGTCAAATCAGATAGCCAATTTTTGAGGACAATCCTCCGTATTTTTATACCCCTTTCTGATAAGAAACTCGCAGCATATCAGCTCAAAGTTTGAGTAGTTTTTCCACGACGGTTGAATCAGCATTTCGTTCCGGTTGACTCATTTTTTGCCATTTTTTTTTACTTTTTGGTGTAGTTGTTCGGCATGGACTCGTTCACCCCGGGGATACCACACCAGCCTTGTGACTGCCAATTGAAACGAAGATAAGCCTGAGTCTAGAGGCTGGACCAGGTGGATGTTCTTTTAGATTAGTCAGTCGGTAGCAGCGGAGTGCGAGTTGGGGGCACCGAGAGTCCTCCACCCCGACTCAAAGGATATTGGGGGATATTGGGGGAAACTGTCTATATAAAAGTATACGTGGAAACTGTCGATATATATATATAAACTTCTGTATAGGTATAAACTTTTGTGGGTATAAACTTTTATATAGGTATATACTCAAATTTTATATAGTCTAGTAGATAAATTTGGAACCACGTAATTGGAATTGTGGTTGAGACTTTGACTCAACTTTAGAAGTTGATCTTTCTGGGAATCCTTCGAAAGTTTTGGCGTAAACGGCAATAGAATGGGAGATCAACTGGGTATTGATAACCCAGGCTTCATAGTCGGGGTTTTGTAAATCGTCACATAATTGGTGATAACATGGATCAAACCATTGACCGGCTTTACCACCGAATTTTTCGACACCTTCTTGAGTTTTAACCCCTTCAGCCCCAGTAGCAATACCACCAGCAGGGATGTCAACGTCGATAAAGCCAACGTAATCTGATCTACCGTCGAAAGGAACCAAGGTATAGTTTAAGCCATGTTCAAGGTACCAATCGATATACAATTGCTTTAAATCACCTGAACCGTTTGGATGATCTTCATTATTAGCATCGTAAACTTGATATTCATAATTTGGAGAGGCCATCATATCATAATCCATAAATAATCTTAATTTTGAATTTTCGGCTTCATCTAAAGATTCAGCATATGCAGTTGAACCTAATAAACCTTCTTCTTCAGCACTCCACCAAGCAAATCTAACTGCATTATTAACTTTGAAATTAGTCAATTGTTTGGCTACAGTTAAGAGAGAAATACTTCCACTACCATCATCGTTAATACCTGGTCCAGCACCAACAGAATCGGAATGGGCACCCAAGGAAACAACATTATCATGATCTCCGTGGGCAGTTTCAGCAATAACATTTAATGTACTAATGTTTCTAACGTAAGCATCAACAAATAATGAAGTTTCAAATTTATAACTTGGATCCTCAATCAATTTATCAATATAGCTTTTAACATCTTTTTCTGAAACTCCTAAAGTTGGAACTTCATTACCTTGAGGAGTACCTAAAGTCCCCAGTAAAGATCCATTAGAGTCGTAAATTATAGCTCCCTTGGCTCCACTTTTACCAGCATTATTGGATTTATCTCCAAAAGGACATTCTCCTCTTTTAATTAATACAATATTATCTTTTGTTAAATCATTTGGGAAATCCAGTAACGAACATCCATAACCATCAACAAGAATTAAATCCCCATGCACAACACTCAAATCAGGAGTAGCTGGAGTCATTGAAAAAACTTCCAAAGATTTTGGTTGAACTCCATCAATTAATAAAGAAAATGAGTTTACTTTACCGTCAATAGCATTGAATCTTTGAGTTTTAACTTTATAATATCCTCCCAATTTTCTAATTTCATCAATGATGTAACCAATAGTACCCCAATGACCAGGAGATCCAATCACACGAGTTGGATTACCATATTCCAGAACTGAATTAAGCGAAATGTTATATAAACTTTCTGCTCCTTGTTTCAAATCTTCGGCTTTGATCAAACATTGCAATTGCTCAGTATCAATCTCTGGCAACTTATCAAAACTTTCGATACTCATTAACTTATCATTGAATTCATTTGGATATTCTGGTTTATCAAAATTTAAGAATTCCGGTAAATTTAACGGAATTGAGTCTTTAATATCACCAAATTTTGGGATGTTCAAGTTCAAAATTGATTGTTGAAATCCATCTAACGATAATGGGATTGCATTGACTGCAACCAAACAGCTAGCAATATTTAATAATGCAAGCTTCATCCTAATTGTATTGAGAGAAGAGAGTAGCTCAAAAGTTGGACTTTTGGTCCTATTTTTATATCGCGACTTTATTACTCATTTTCTGGTGCCATTCCATTTTGAGTGCGGGTCCAGCAGACCATAAAAAAATAAGATGAAATGTTGAAAATGACTTTTATTACTGTTATATACATACGAGAAACACCTTAAGATTAAGATGATTTTTTCTTTCTACTACCGAATTTTTGACCTTGACGTTGGCCTCCAAAACCACCAAAATGGAAGCTTCCTCCGTTGCCTTGTTTCATGAATTGTTTCATGAAATCACTGTTGAATTGGAAGCCTCCACCACCACCTCCGAATGGTTGTGATGCTGCTGTTGCCTCTGTCCACCCATTGGGTCATTTGGATCGTCACCTTGGTCATAACGCTCTCTCAATTCTTTATTGGACTAGTACTTCGTAAGCTTTGTTAATTTCTTGCATTTTAGATTCGATTTGTTCAGGAGTTAAGTCATTTCCTTTGTATTTATCTGGATGGTATTTCAACGTTTGAGTACGATGAGCCTTCTTAATTGTTTTTTCATCGGCATCTCTTGCAATATCAAGAATTTTGTAGTAATCGTTAGCAGGCTTTTGTCTTTGTTGTTGTTGTTGTTGTTGTTGTTGCTGTTGATATTGACGTTGACGTTGTTGTTGTTGCTGCTGCTGACGGAAATGCTGTTGTTGCTGACGTTTCTTATCATAAGCTTCTATGATTTTCAGACGATCAAGGAATAATTGAGTTCCTTTCACATTTTTGTTAAACTTACTCAACAAATTTGCAGCCTCTTGATAATTTTTTTCTTTTAGTAATTTATCAATTTTTGGTACATGTTTAGGGAAGAATGGATTTTCATTTATATCATCATTAATGTTTGATTTGCAAAATTGGTTTGCGTTTTTATAATCTTTCAATTGAATGAAGGATTCACACGCAAACTTATTTAAATCTTGAGTGAAACTTAATTTAGTAGCATCAGTCGAAAACTCTTTAGAAAACTCATCTGCTTTATGCATAAGATAATCGTAATTAGATTTAACTTTACGGGGTAGATTTTTCATTTCCAATTTAGATACTTGTAACGAATTTTCAAATAAGAACTTATTAGCAAACTCCCAGTCAATTTCAATATCCTCTATTTTATTTGATGTTTCTTCGCTTATCAAGTAGACATGACCT